TAAACCAATCTACTATCCTCTGTATACCTAGACCAATGTATTTACCTCTGGAAATTTTCCAAGCATCTCGCGGCCAAAAGGTATTTGACCATTCTATGTTTAATATCCAGCCTCTTATAATTATGCCCTTGCTTCTTTATGAGGACTGATTTTTTCATTCTTCTTAAGTTCTAGGCTAAAGGCTTTATGTTTTATGTTCAAACTATATATGATGGAGTATATAAACTCGGACCCCCGGGTCTCACGACTATTGGGCCCAGACAGCAGCCCACTCACGCTTATCGGACGTCATTTATATCATTTGTATTATTGTAGAGTTCATATATCATTTGTATGTACTAGATTAGCCTTTTATGTAATTGGGCCTATCGGGCCCATATTAGTGGCCCGACCCATCGTTTCTCTATTTATACTCCCAAAGGGAGTTCTTGTAAACCTAATTCAACATAATTACTCATTCACACTCTACTATTCATTCATCTTCTTCACTATCTTTAGCTCAAATCTCTCCTAATTATATAAGATTGGATACCCTATAATCCATCAATGATGTTTTCATTGAGAGATTAGAGCAAAATCAAGTTAGATTTCCTCCCAAAATACAAAAAAGATCCACAAATTCATTCCAAACACAAAAAATCTAGCCAAAACTGTACTGAAAAATCCAAAAAGTAAAATGGCTGATGGAATCTGGAACTTTCCACATCTGTTTTATAGTTGATACCGCCGCCGCCATCCATGCTCCGTCGTCGTCCATATCGCCGCCCTTCGCCACCTGCTCAGGCTCGCTGGAACCCACCTGCTGCATTCCCAGACATCGTCACTGCTCACAACCACGTCGCCAGTAACTATTTGAGCTCACTTCTCCGCCACCATTAGAGCGAAGCCAGCAACATGAATCGGACAGAGGTCGCGACCAAGAGCTCAAACCAGACCGAAACGGAATAAAACTTGAGGCAACAAGTCAGGTCTTACTTATCTAACACTGATTCCACGGATTTCGCATCTCCATTTTGAAAGGTCGAAAGCCAGCCATTAATGGTGGTTGAGGACCTTGGTAGCTGTTCTCGAGCTCCTATGCTATCAAGCAGGGACTGAGTAACAGAGATGACGTCTGAAGGGTTACCATAACGGCCTGCCTTCATCGGCCATGGAATCTGTCGCCCCTAGCAGTTGCAGTCGAGCCTCCTCCGGTGGCGAGATGAGGCGGTGTCAAGGACGTCTGGTCAGGGACCTTCACCCCTTTCTCTCTCGGTCTACGCTAGCAGGAAGCTTCATCTTGTCCATTTGCTACTTGCTAGGTCAAAATTGGTAGTCAAGGTGCAATTTCTATAAGAGGCCCAAATTCTTCCGGCCCGCATTATGTTCAACCCATTTAAAAGATAAGTGTTCCTAAAAATTCCTCCATATAATTCATATGTGAACTTATTTGATAAATTGATTACAAAAAATCATAAATGAAATATTTTAATAATATAGCATAAAACTTCAATCTCGAGGGGCGAGTCATCCGTGAAAAGACCTATAAATAGCGTCTAGTGGATCCCAGCTACGAACTTGAGTGACAAGTTGAGCTAGATTATTAATTTACTATCATTAATTTTTTAAATAGTGTGTATTTTTTGACATTGAGAAAACGGACTTATGAATTCCGAGCACTCGCGTACCCCGGGCGAACACAATCACTCGCGCCACCGGGTCACGTGAAATGAGTGTGGATAGTAAGCTCCCAATCCAAATGTCATCAAATGCATACTTTAGTTTCTATGTTTTGTATGAGTTATGTGTGCCCTCTAGCTATCGGAAATGAACTGCAATCCCTCAGCGGTAGGTTCAGTCCTTTATGCGTGCCACGCTCCAACTAAGCATAGAAACCTAGCTTGAGCCGCAGCTTGGAAATTTGAGGCAACTTAATTTAGGCCCAAATCCAATAGCAAATTATAAGCTCAAGAAACTATAACAATTTTATTTGAATGCATAGGTGCAACTAAATGATGACATCATACCGGCCACTTGGCCGTCTCTCCTGGTCATCTTTATTTGATGACTAGGACTACTTATCATGCCGAGCTACTCACATCTAGAGACTGGTCTCAGCCATCCCCTCAGCAGACGGACACCGTTGCATCTCCCCATCGTGGATCAAAAGGTGTCAACCCTCGGCCCCCTGTTGAAGACATCATCCGACACGCATTACTCTACTCCTCTTCACCTCATTACACTCGCCTCAAGGAGTGGGGGACTGGAAGAGCGGGGGACTTGGCGCCTCCGTTAACCAAAGAAGCAGAAATTCAAAAATTTTCACGAAGTTTCCTCATCAGATGATAGATCAGCACACAGTTCTACTCCCTTTCACCTCGAGTACTCTCGACTCAGGGAGTGGGGGACTCCTGATGGAGTATATAGACTCGGACCCCCGGGTCTCACGACTATTGGGCCCGGACAGCAGCCCACTCACGCTTATCGGACGTAATTTATATCATTTGTATTATTGTAGAGTTCATATATCATTTGTATGTACTAGATTAGCCTTTTAAGTAATTGGGCCTATCGGGCCCATATTAGTGGCCCGACCCATCGTTTCTCTATTTATACTCCCAAAGGGAGTTCTTGTAAACCTAATTCAACATAATTACTCATTCACACTCTACTATTCATTCATCTTCTTCACTATCTTTAGCTCAAATCTCTCCTAATTATATAAGATTGGATACCCTATAATCCATCAATATAGTTTCTATTTTCTGATTCTTTATACATCAACACTGCAGAGGCTGTTCAAAAACATTATAGTTTACTCATTTACCTCTTCAGAAGAACTGTAGTTGCTTGTGATAGCTTGATTAAAGTATAGGGTTGTCTAGACTGATTTTGATCCCTTCACTGGAAATAGGTTGATATGGTTAATAGAGGTGTCTGGTGTTAATATTTCTTTTGTGTAAATCCTTAGTATTATATACTTAGTACTTTATAAACCAGATTTTTACCTTTACTTTTAGAGCAGTAGAGTAAAGGTCTGGGGTTGTAATTTTTTAATAGCGGGTTTATTGTTCTTCTTTACATGTATAGAAGTTCAATTAGAGAAACACCAAATACTTAGTTTGTTCGAGATTTTATGCACCATTCAGGGATTCAGATCACTTTCTATGAGAATATGAATATTGTGAGAATGGCAACATCTCAATAAGAGAGTAGTCATCTTAACAGATTTTGCATCAACTTAAATATGATACAAAATGACTTCAAACCGAACCATCTAAAGTTTAAAACAACCCTTTAAGTTAATGCTTTTGAATTATTAGCATATAGCATATCATTTGTTCTTCATTTTTTGAACCTTCATATCAGCCAAGGACTCTCAGAGGATCTCACGTATTGCTTTAGAGGAGCATGAGAAATGGGTCCCTGCACTTCTCTACTTGATGTTATAACCCAAGTAATGTTATAACCCAAGTAAGTGAGGCAACATAATTAAATTTTAAAAAGTATATCATTTCGGATTTGTATTACTTGATTTCTAACCTGCGGCAGTTCAAATTTTTATCGCTCCATTTGTGAATACCAGTAAAACATTTGACTCTCCCTCTATGTCTGTTCGGAAATTGTTTATTCCCTCCCATTTCCAACTTCTAAATTGTTATTCTGATTTTCGTTAAACTTATTGTTTCCTTTTGTGTTATAAATCATTTAAGCACTTTATAGTTGTTGTGAGTGAAAGGATGTCTTCATCTAATTAAGAACGGTACATCCTTGATAATGAAAGATACGAGTTTCCCTACAATTTTTTCTTTTACTTTTACAAATGTTAGTCATCTGAATTTGTTTTTGTTCATTCCAATGCTCACCAAGTATTTCCTTTTACCTTTGCCTTTTGTAGCAGATAATCAATGCATAGAAGTTGGTTGGTTGGAGATACATGTTTTCCCTTATGAAGGCCAATATTACATAAACTGGTGTGTAAATAAATGTGTTGAATGTATTTTATTGACGTTGCTAGAATGCAGGGAAAACCGAAATTGATGTAGTTTAAATTTATTTTCATATTGATGGAGCTCATGTATAAGTTTTTAGACGGCACGGAGATGTAGACGGTGTTAGGATGTATGTATAATTAGAGAGTGTTTGCAATTGCTTCTACTTAAAAAAAGTGTTTTTTAATGAAATTTGAAAAAGTGATTAATTGTAAAAGCTGATAGTGTTTGGAAACAAGTGATTATACAAAAAAGTGTTGAAATTGGAGTGTTTGGTAAAAAATTGATTATTGATGTAGTTTTTTATTAATGTACGAAAATGCCCCTCTTTCATTAAACCTTTTGTGCCTGGAGTGACGTATAAAGGAAAGAGAGAAGGGCATTAATGGGATACAACAACGCATATTAACAATATCAATGCGCCCCTAATTACCAAGAATTACCAAATTACCAAGACCTTGAAAAAAGCTGCTTTGAGCTCATTCGACGCGGAAACGGTGAAGTGGCTATTTTGATTTCTGTTGACAAAAAAGCCCAAAAGTGTTTTTCAAAAGCAGTTGCAAACAATGCTTTAGTGTACTTTTTCTTGAAACAATATTTTATATTTAATTTCCTCTGTCCCGCTAAAATTGTCTCAAATTTTCTTTTTGAATTGATCCATCCCACTAATATTGTCACATATTAAATTTGGTAAAGTTTTTGTGATTCCAAATCATTTTTACTTTAGTCTTACTTTATAAATTCAATATCAACCACATAATCTCATTTTTCTTAATAAACGGGTCACCTATTCATGTCTAAATGTTAATGGGATGAAAATAGTAATTTTTATTATTTTATACTATCATCAAAGATTTGAAGTACGAAGCCTATTATAAATATATAAAGTTAATCAACATTTATTAACTTCATCCCGTGCAACGCACGAGTGAAAAATCTAGTTTAAAACTTAAAGTCCTAATTTGAAGTTTTAATCATATTTTAGTCTCATTTACGATAATTCCTTAAAAACTTAATAAAAGAAGAACCAAAGAATCACACCCAGTTCACTCGTACATTGCACTTCACCGGCAAGACACTCCCCTGTTACATTTTCCAACCGTTGCCGGCGGCGAAATAATGGGGAAGGGCGGAGCATTGTCCGACGGCGTCATGAAGAAGATCATCGTTTCCTACACCTACGTCACAGTCTGGATCCTCCTATCCTTCACCGTCATCGTCTTCAACAAGTACATCCTCGACCGGAACCTCTACAACTGGCCCTTCCCCATCTCCCTCACCATGATCCACATGTCCTTCTGCTCCTCCCTCGCCTTCTTCCTCGTCCGCGCCGTCAAACTCGTCGACCCGCCGACCGCCGTCACCCGCCGCGTGTACCTCACGCGCGTCGTCCCCATCGGCGTCCTCTACGCCCTCTCCCTCTGGCTCTCCAACTCCGCCTACATCTACCTCTCCGTCTCCTTCATCCAGATGCTCAAGGCCCTCATGCCGGTCGCCGTCTACGCGGTGGGAGTTCTGTTCAATAAAGACCCGTACAAGCCCGCCACCATGGCGAACATGGTCGGGATATCCGCCGGCGTCTCTGTCGCCGCGTACGGCGAGGCGAAGTACGATTCCTGGGGGGTGTTACTGCAATTGCTCGCCGTCGGATTCGAAGCGACCCGATTGGTGATGATTCAGATCCTGCTCAATTCCAAGGGAATCTCACTGAATCCGATCACATCCCTGTACTACGTCGCCCCGTGCTGCTTCGTCTTCCTCTCGATTCCATGGCTGATCGTCGAGTTCCCTGTTCTGCGGGAGAAATCAGGGTTCCGATTCGACTTCGCCATATTCGGGACGAATTCTCTCTGCGCTTTTGCCCTGAACCTCGCCGTCTTCTTGCTCGTAGGGAAGACGTCGGCGCTGACCATGAATGTCGCCGGAGTGGTCAAGGACTGGCTCCTGATTGCTTTTTCCTGGTCTGTTATCAGAGACACCGTCACTCCGGTGAACTTAATCGGGTACGGGTTGGCGTTCTTGGGAGTGGGTTACTATAACCACTCCAAATTGCAGGCTTTGAAAGCTAAAGAAGCTGAGAAGAAGGCGGCGGCGGATGAAGAAAGTGGGAACCTGTTGGGAGACAGAGATGGGAGCTCGGGAGGAGACTTGCTGGGGAAGAAGGTCAATGCTCACACCTAATTTCGTAATTTGACTAGGGGAAATTAAAGGAAAAAGAAAGAAAATGGTTGTGTAGAATTCATCATCACTGTATATCTTAATCAACCCTCCTAGGTACTTTCTTTACTTTCCAAAAATACTCAGACAACAAAATAAAAATAATTATTAAAATCACGTGAACTTGTTAAAATCTCTAACACTAACACTAAGAGCATTTCCAATGCAAAAACGTGAACGATGCATATGTGGCATGAGAGATATCCAATTAAAAAGTACCGAATAGAATATCTCTCTCCTTATTTGAACGGTCTTATATGTTTTTGGTAAGTTTTTCTCTACAATGTCAAACACAATGTCTAGATGTAGACATTGTGGTTGACAATGTTAAGAAAAACTTACCAAAAACACACAAAACCGTGGAAAGAAGGAGAAAGAAATGTCATAAATTTAATTATTTGTGTCTATCTCTCTCATGCCACATGTGCATCGTACACATTGTAGCATTGAAGATGCTCTAAATTTACTGAAATGTTGAATTATGATAAAAATTAAACATATTTTATTAGTAAAGTACAAAATCATATGAAAAAGTTGATAAATATTTTCACTTGCAACAAATTTTAGTTGAAAGCAATGTTGTTCACTCTCTCAATTAAATGGGGGTGATGTTCAAATTTTCACCCTAAACCTGCCATATAACATGACAACTTTTTTTTTGAGTGTTTTAATTTTTCATTTATGATCCAATTTAAAAAATATATATATTTGAATTTTACAATTTTATGATCAGTACCCATATTTAAAATTAAAAACTATTATTTAAAATAGATAATTAGAAAATTATATTGTTTCAAATTTTTAAAATGCAATACCGTACCATAGGAAAGATCATAAAAATGTAAATTCTAAATGTGATACTCCGTATATTTTTATAAAAAATGAATCACAAATAAAATAATTATAACAATTTACAAAATTGCAATCCCACATGACAAGTGAGGAAAGATGGGGTGACCATCATCTTATTTGGTGAACAAAACTACACTTATTTTAGAAATAATGACTAATATAATACTCCTGCACTTTCAAAAGACAAAATTGAGACTCATTTATGATCCGGACAAAAAAGAGACTCATTTTATGTGGATGGACTGAATTACTTCTAATATAAATTATCTAGCAAAACCCCAAATTCAACCCAGCTCCCGTCGCTTAGACCTGCCATTCCCGCATCGCTTGAGGAGTGTCGTCCTTGCCGCACCAAGGGGACCGTCGTCCCGCTTCAGCACTCGGCGGCTGCTGTCGCTTCAGCACTCGTCGGCCGCTGCCTCCGCTTCTGAACTCTCCTACTTTTTCTCCGCTTCAGCAGTCATCGGCTGCCATAGCTTCAACTCTTACCACGAGCCATCGTCGCTTCAGCTCTCACCAACACGTCGGTCGCCGCTTCAGCCCTCAAACGCCTCTTCTGGTCTTCTCCACCACCACTTCCTTCTACTATCTTTTTCTCTACCTTAACGATTGAGGATGAAGAATGTGATGGAGCCGACCGCGGTGGTTCAGATCTGGTTCAGATCCGACAATTTTGTGCGGCGGGCCGGTGGAGAGGGTCAAAATCGGGCAGTTGTGGCTATGGACTGGTTGTTAGGAGGTCAGCGGTGAGGCGAGTTATTGGTCGTGGCTGGGGTGGGCTGGTGGGGGAGGGGGTGGGCTGCTATGGGCTGGTGGGGTAGGGGTGGGATGTTGTGGGGCAGGGGGCGAGGGCTAGTGTAGTGTGACATGGGAGGGGCTGAGGGTGGTGCTGACGGGGCTGGGGGTGGTGCCGGCGGGGCTGGGTGCGGCAGTGAGCGGGGATGGGTGTGGCAGTGAGCGGAACGGGGCTGGGTGGAGCAGGGGTGGGTTGGATTGAACTGGTTAGGCAGGGAGCTAGTAGGGTAGTAGGGCCGATGGGTGGCTTTGGTTAAGGTAGAGGCGGTTATGGGCGGCAATGGTTGGGGATGGCGGTGATCCTGCGATGAATAGGATGGCCAAGGCAGCTGTGGTCACTGGTGGGGCAGTGAAATCACTGGGCTAGGTGGTGGTTGATCATTAATGTCGGTGTCACCAGAGTCGGGGTGACACTGGAGCCAGGCGGTCACCGGTCATTAAGTCGGGTGTCACTGGAGTCAGGATGTCACTCGAGCTAGGTGGTCATTGGGGCAGGGTAGTCTCTGGGGCAGGGTAGTCATTGGAGCTGGGTGGTCACTGGTCACTGGTCACTGGCGACATTAGTCACTGTGGATGCTGGTAGTAACTGACTGGGTGGTCACGATCGAATTATGGCGGACTTTGGTGATTGACTGAGCGAACGTTTGTCATTGAGTCATTGGATGTGTGAATGTTAGTCACCAGAGGCATGTAACTTAACTGAGATATTAGTGGTCGTGACATTGGTAACTGCAATATTGGTCACTGTAGTGGTAGTAACTGAGACGGTGGTCACTGAAGCAGTTGTAATTGAAACGGTTGTCACTGGAGCGGTATTAGTTGAAATGGTGGTCACTGAGACGGTAGTCACTAGAGCGGTAGTAATTGGTGGTAGTCACTGGAGTAGAGTAATTGAGACGGTAGTCACTGAAACAATAGTAACTGGAACAATTGTTCAAATAATTTTTTATGTAATATTTAAATATTAAGACCCTTATGTTTCATACTACGTATCTAAATATGTATCTTGAGAAATAACATTAAAATAAAATAAAAACATCAATTTTTAGAGATTGCAATATTCTTGCCAAAAAAAGAAGACATTACCATGTTATTATACAGTAAGTTGGTGGGCACTTGCAATTTGACGCTTTCAAATTGAATGCATAAAGTTATGGAGTATCAACTAATCCCAGATGCAGATATGACTTGTGAAGGCTACTTTAGACATGTGGGAAATTATTAGTCATTTTTTTGGAAACTAAAAGGAATGGTCACTTTTTTGTCAATTAACTCTTTTTTAGTATTATTCATGTCAAAACCTCCTTATTTTAACCGGACATAATGCAATCTTGACTCATAGAGTATATATCTAGAGAGAAGTGCAAGTAAATGATTCAATAGAATGATTTTGTAACCCCTACAACTACCTCCAGAGGAAGTATTTATAGGAAAAATACGGGTTGGGCTCCCAAGCCTTGGGCTTGGGAGGCCCATTTACAACTTGACCGTTATTGGACCCAATACAAAGTAAATGATGGGATATGTAAATGAATAAGTGTAAAACCTAATTCTGCGAGACTTCCATGGCCGACGAGGGTCTGGCCGACGAGGGCACGGCCGATGAGGGCACAGCCGATGAGGACACCCCGGTTCCTTGGCTTCAGGATCATATTCTGAGTCGGTCCCTCTTCGGCCGACGAGGGTCCTTTGGCCGACGAGGGCATTTCGTAGTGGCTTGTATTTTATGTTCTTATGAGTATGTGGGTCCTGGGGCCTAGATCCATATACTCCATCATTGACTTTATTTATTTTGTATTATTTTATAATAGAATTCTACGTGTGGAATACTTGTTGAGTTCATATATCATTCTATGTGAATCTAATTTAATATTATACATTTGAAATATGTATTGATATGAAAATCGTAAACTCTACTATATGATCATTAATACATTTTCATTTAACATAAGCCCCCTCTATTGAACGTTTGGAACTCTGCAATTGAGTATGAAAATTTCAAACCTATTGAGCATCAAAAGATCTTCGTTGAATATCATATTTTCTAGTATGGAACATTGGGACTATGTGATCAAACATCTTTATTGAGCATTAGAACTTTGTCTTAAGCATCAAAACATCTTCATTGAATATCACGTTCTCTATTATTGAATATTGAGACTATGTGATCAAGCTCCAATTACATCTCAAAATTAAAAACCACACTCATGTGCAGCTATGCAAATTTCACTTAAGTATATTCATTATTGCATGCTCGTTTGAAATCTTTATTGTGCTCGTTTATAATATTATACAAATATCCATTTCCTTAAAACGTAAAACTAATCTGAGTATTAACATAAATCTCAATATAATCATTACAAACAACTTATAATATTATTAGATTCTTTTATTAAATTATCACTAGATTTATCAATGAGATATATAACAATTTTACTTGAAAAATAATTTATAATTTGTCATTCTTCATTTCAAACACTATACTCATTTTAATATAGCACAAAAACCATTCAATAAGATTAATTATGTTGACTACTTTGTAATAGATAAAATCTTTTAAAAGTGAATACCCAACCATTGTACAAATTCGTATAAAAATTCTTTGTGAACAATAAAACTCGGTCTATCTTAACACAATAATACATGCATATTGCAAAACTAATAAATTCTCATTTAGCGTAATGATTAAAAACAGAACATTAGTCACTTAAAATATCACATAAAATCTAGTAACAATTTAGTATTATATATAGAACTGCAAACGTAAACTCTAGTAGCTAATTATTTAAACATAAAACATTGAAAATATAAACAAAAGTAGAAATTTATTAAAGATGTACAAGTGCAAAAAAAAACACTAATTAGATCCCTATAGTTACTTAAATACGGTACGAGAATTAAACGTGGTTTAATACGTACGTGTTTTATTCGGTAACTTAAACAAAAAATACTGTCAAAAATTCAGCAAAAATACGTTGACTTTTATAAAATACGACATCTCTTAGAAAAATTCGGGTTAAAAATACATGTCTTATTTTGAATGATTAAATTATTGTACTAGTTTTTAGAGAATAAAAAATATATAGTACATAAAGGATAATCAACATACACACACCATTCAAATATAATATCTCATTACTCCATCAAACAAGAAATTAAATAATGATCATGTCCAAAATACTACTTAACATACATTTAAATTACATGCTTCAGAAAATAACTTATAATAAAAAGAAATAAGAGTGTACACATATTGAAGTAGCAAATCACATGACTACATAAAAGAATACTTTGTAATTGCATAAGTCGATGACAAACGTAAAAATAGTACGGAGTAATAAAGTCCAAGACATAATTTTGCAAAGTAATGTCAGAAAATAAGACATAATAACGATAGAATGAGGCCAAGTTACATCATCATCTTTATATGATCATCAAATAACACTCAAGTTAAACTAATCATTTTCACC